ATCAGTGCTACGCAGCTTCAGCCGACGCTGAGAGAGAGAATCCGGTGAGAGCAGGCTTTTGATGAGTTTGTTCGTGTCATGGAGGCCAAGGTTCGTGCCGGAGGCATCAAGGATTTTTAGCTAGGTGCCGATGGTGCCTTAGAGTTCAGAGGCAGGATCGTGGTCCCGAAGGTCGAGGCGTTGCGGAAGGAGATTTTATCAGAGGCTCATACCGTACCCTATCTGGCCCATCCCAGGAGCACGAAGATGTACCACGACCTGAAAGGGTCGTTCTGGTGGCGAGGCATGAAGAAGGACGTCGCCGAGTTCGTCAAGAGATGTCTTACCTGTCAGCAAGTCAAAGCCGAACATCAGAGTCCGATCGGCCTCCTGCAGCCACTGCCAATTCCGAGGTGGAAGTGGGAGGATGTCACGATGGATTTCGTTACGGGATTACCGAGGTCGTCTGAACATCACGACGCTATCTGGGTCGTGGTCGACAGACTGACTAAGGTCGCGCATTTCTTACCCGTTTCGATGAAGATGTCTCTGGACAAGTTGGCTGAGATATATACCCGTGGAATCATCCGACTCCACGGAGTGCCCGTTACGATCGTATCAGACAGAGATCCCAGATTCGTCAGTCGATTCTGGCACAGTTTACATGAGGCGATGGGCACGAAGCTAGAGTTCAGTTCAGCCTACCATCCGGAGACAGATGGTCAGTTAGATAGGACTATTCAGACACTTAAGGATATGCTTCGCGCTTTGGTTGTTGACAGGGGTGCTAAGTGGGAGTCGTTGTTGCCGTACGCCGAGTTTGCATATAACAACAGCTATCATTCTTCCATTCAGATGGCTCCTTACGAGGCACTTTATGGTCGCAAGTGTCGTTCCCCTCTCTATTGGGACGACGTCGGAGAGCGGCGAGTACTTGGTCCTAAGCTGATCGAGGAAACGGCAGATCAGGTCGAGTTGATCCGACAGAGACTCAGGACAGCTCAGAGTCGACAGAAATCTTCCGCCGATCATCATCGACGAGACATTCAGTTCGAGGTTGGCGAGCCAGCCTTTCTCAAAGTTCGTCCGATTCGCGGAGTTGTGCGATTCAGAAAGAGAGAGAAGCTGCACCCTCGGTTCATCGGTCCATTCGAAGTTCTCTAACGAGTAGGCGAGGTCGCGTATCGTTTAGCCCTACCTCCCGAGTTATCAGGCATTCATAATGTTTTCCACGCCTCTATGTTGCGTAAGTACGTGTGCGACCCCGATCATGTCATCCCTCATACGGATATTCAGGTTCAGCCAGATCTATCGTACGAGGAGCGACCGGTAGCTGTACTAGACCGTCAGGTTCGTCGGCTCCGGAAGCGAGATATTCCCCTCGTGCGTATTCAGTGGGATGTCCACGAAGCTACTTGGGAGGAGGAGTCCGATATTCGCGCTCGTTTTCCAGATTTCCAGTTTTGATGTACATCTTTCTTTATCCTATGTACATAGTTCACGTATTATCAGTTATGTTTTGAATTTCCGAGGAC